TATATATACATACATATATGTGTGTGTATGTGTGTATGATAAATAGAGATAGAGAGTGCAACGAAGCACAAACTAAATGCAAACTAATATCTAGCTAAACTGAGTTTTAAAAGTAGTTTTAACACAGGTTTGATTTGATTTTGTTTCGGCAGATTGAGTTAATCTCAGATGTAATACTTCAGACAATTGCTCAGATGTAATTCTGAGACATCATCCAGCCCAACAGCAACATCGCTTGGGGACAAACCCGGGCGAAATAAACTTGCGTTCTCGGCTTATCAGATTGCAAGCGAAGAGACTAAAAGTTTTCTCACCCCTGAAGCGTGTAGAAGAGCTGTGGACGCCCCGCAGCAACAGACTCACAAGCCTTGCGCTCATTTGCAAAACCTTTCCCACCGGATCCTTGCTGGGAAAGCAGAATTTCCACCAAAACACACCCGAAGCACGTTTCCTTTTTTTTTTTTTAAAAAAAAGAGTGACTTCCGATTTGGAACCCGTGGCTCTCTGGGAAATGTAGTTTTTATCGGACCGACGTTCTTTTCTTTTCCCCACCTCCTCTGGCCTCAAAGCACGATGGGAAATGTATGCCGAGCGGACTTCAAAAGTCCCGACTGCTAGATGGCAGCAAAGAGGCAATACGTCCTCTTCTCCTTCCCACCTTTTTGCAGATCAGATACAGAATAACAGAGTTGGAAGGGACCTTGCAGGTCATCTAGTCCAACCCCACGCCCCAAGCAGATCCTACACCATTTTTGACAGATGGCAGTCCAGTCTCTTCTTGGGATAAAGCTCCCACAACTTCCGAAGGCAACTTCTGTTCCATGGGTTGATGGTTCTCACTGTCAGAAAATTTCTTCTTATTTCTAAGTTGAATTTCTTCTTGATCAGTTTCCATCCATTATTTCTTGTCCGGCCTTCGAGTGCTGTGGGAAATAGCTTGACCCCTTCCTCTCTGTGGCAGCCCCTCAAATATTAGAAGACTGCTATCATGAGTCCCTTGGTTAGATCAGATATAATAACCCCTAGTAATGATCAATCCCAAATGATTGATCTTTAATACTTCTAACTCATCATAAAGGTAAAGGTTCCCCTCGCACATACGTGCTAGTTGTTTCCAGCTCTAAGGGACGGTGCGTATCTCTGTTACAAAGCCGAAGAGCCAGCACTGTCCGAAGACGTCTCCTTGGTCATGTAGCTGGCATGACTAAATGCCGAAGGCGCACGAAGTGCCGTTACCTTCCCACCAAAGTGGTCCCTATTTTTCTACTTGTATTTTTACGTGCTTTTGAACTGCTAGGTTGGCAGAAGCTGGGACAAGTAACAGGAGCTCACTCCTTATGCAGTGCTAAGGATTCGAACCGCCAAACTGTCAAGCTTTCTGATCGACAAGCTCAGCGTCTTAGCCATTGAGCCACCGCAGCCCTTTTACTCATCATACTGTGAATTAAACAATAGGCCTGTGATGACCCGTGGTGTGGCACAAAGACAACACAGTCACATAAATAAGAAAAGACCCTTTAATACCTCCAACTTTGCCCCCAATGTCCAGGTTACCTTCGGCTGGAGAAAAAACTCTTCCAAGAAAGTCTTTAAATGAAGGAAATTCAGTCCGAAAACAAAAGTACATATCAACTGTAAATAAAAATCCACACAAACCATGCTGCAGCAATTAACTGGACAGGGCAGGATAAGGAATTGCAGACTTGAAAGGCCAACGAAGCACACACAGTTGGGAAGATGCCAGGAACCCAGATAAGCCTCGATCATAAAAGATAACTCATGATTTGCTTCCCACGAGTTGCTGTGCGTAAACTCCCTTTTTAAACACTGTGTTCCTAGCTGCAGCTAATGAAGGGCATCAGGGCCCTTTCCTCCCCCATAAGCCACACAGCTCATGTTGCTCCCTTCTTCGTTCCTCCCTGCGTGCCATAGGATGAAGAAGGGGCGAGCCTGGGTCTTCCTCCAAATTCCCTCTCCTTTGCCACACTATAAAAAAGATGTTGAGACTCTAGAAAAAGTACAGAAAAGAGCAACCAGGATGATTAGAGTATTGGAGACTAAAACATATGAAGAATGGTTGCAGGAACTGGGC